AAAGATGACCTCTGCAAAGTATGTGGAGTTTATGACTGACCACTTTCTTCCCTGGTACAGAAGGAAGAACTATGCTTAACAAAATCATCTTCATGCATGACAATGCACCATCTCATGCTGCAAAGAATACCTCTGCATCAATGGCTGTTATGGGGATAAAAGGAGAGAAAGTCATGGTGTGGCCTCCATCCTCCCCTCACCTCAATCCTATTGAGAACCTTTGGAGCATCCTCAAGCAAAAGATCTATGAGGGTGAGAGGCAGTTTACATCCAAACAGCAGCTCTGGGAGGCTATTCTGACATCTTGCAAACAAATTCAAGCAGAAACTGTCCAAAAACTCACAGTTCAATGGATGCAAAACTTGTGATCTGCTATCAGATAAGGGGTCCTATGTTACAATGTAACCTGACCTGTTAAAATGTTTTAAAAAGTAAACATTTTGTTAAAAGTTTGATTGAAATAGCTTTTGATTTCAGTAAATATGCTGCAAACACAACAAATGACAAATTTCAGTTCTTTACAACCTATAAAAGTGTTTTGAAACCTCCTGTGCGGAATAATTTGGAACAGTGCATTGTAATTTTTTTATGTTTAAAAAGAAACCTGTTATTAGGAGGTTTGTTCAATAAACTTTGAATTGTACTCTTAATAGTTGATAACATGAGAATTATGCCGACTGTTATTTACATCAATTATTTAGGGAATTGAGAAAAATATAATTTGCATAATAATTGGAACACGGTGTAGATGAGAACCTTTCCATGTGGCACCATTTCCATGTGGTATAGGTACATAGACGACGTATTTCTCATCTCGGAGCGACCTGAGGAGATGTTATTGGAATGTATTCAAAAAATTAACAATAACAGTCATAACTTAAAATCTACCATGTCTCATAGTAGGGTAACAGTTACTTTTTCTGGATGTCCCCATACAGAAAGACAGCAATGGCCATCTTTCAAGTGGACTTTACCACAAGGATACTGCAGTCCGACTCTGAATGACCTCACACCATCACACGTTTGGGGTGGGGGGAAGGCACCAGATGATGAGGGAGATCTTCTCCCTCATGGATGCAGGGGTGGTCACATGGTGGACGCCATTTGGCGTCCTATTGCAACTTAGGAGGCAACATCCATTATTGGCGGCACAGGTTGGATTTAATCACCTTGAATTATTAATTTTTGTTGTTTTATTAAAGGACTTGTTCAGAGACTGTCTCCTGTCATTTTTTTACACTTTTTTTTTGTGAATGAGTAGCAGTCAGGGGTTGACTGACCATTTGGGAACTCGGCACTCAGTAGGGGGCCCCATGAGACGCCCCTGGTACCTTTTCATAGGTTTTTTTGGGGTGTAGTTTGAGTGTGGGTGAGGACACAGGGGCCCCATGATCCCCTGTTGCCTGGGGGGCCCCATGAGTTGTCAGTCCACCCCTGGTAGCAATACCATATACCCCATAATCATTCACATGGGGGGGGAGCCAGGATTGTGGGAAAGAGGTCTTTGTCCCCATCTACATGGAGACAAAGTGCTTTGGGGGGGAGTCCCCCTGTACCAAGGCACCCCCCTATGTTGATAGCCTGGTATGGTTCGGGGAGGGGGGCACTCGCTCATCCCACCCCTCTCCTGACCTGCCGGGCTGCATGCTCGGATAAGGGTCAGGTATGGATTTTGGGGGAGGACCCACGTAATTTTTATTTTAAATATTGGCATTGTTTTGCCTCAAAATCCATAACAGACCCAAAGGGGCTTGGTATGGATGGGGGGGAATCCCTTGCCACTTTTTTGCTAAATTGCCACCAATTCTTTTTTACATTCAGCTGCCAGTAGGGAACCCCAGCTGAAACATTAATGCACGGTTTCTCTGCCAAAATAACTTATTTTATTAAGGCATGCAGTATTTTAGTAGTGATTTTTTAGTGAATGCCAACAATATTTGGGAAAACAAAAAAATGTTGTGCGGTATCGTGCCGCATACTCAGATGCGGTAAGATACCACTTAGTGTATTGCCCCCTGGGTTCAAAAATCACGGTCGAACTTCTGTTAGGTTCTAATGTTTGACCACAAACTGAACAGGGGGGTGTTCAGGTCCATCACTAATTTTAACATACTGTATAATGGGGTGTTTAGGAAATTTTGGAAAATAAAGTATATAACTTTTTATATACGAATACCTGTGTGGTACTTTATCAACTGCATTAAAGTCCCAAGGTTTTTTTTTTTTTTTATTCCTTGTATTTTGGGGACGAGCAGCCGATACTCTAATTTTTCCTATTGTATCGGTTATTCCTTGGATCAGCTTTACCTATAATGAGATGACGTACCTGCATCCAAAGCGATACTAGCGGTTTCTGCAATTGGCTGGATAATCAGTGATCTGGCTAGAGAGCCGCAGGTCTGTAAGGAAATAAAAGAAATTCAACAGAAATTCCAGACAAGTGAAATCGATGAAGGATGCAAACTGTATCCAAGAAACACCACAGCTATGCTAAAGTCACAAGTCCCCTTCATGTTCCTTTATCTGTGTTATCCCCACAATGGAAACAGTGGAGGATGCGGGCGCACCAGGTTCTTCCATCACTCCAATGGTGAGAACATCCCTGGAATAGTCTCTCAAAATCATATTCCCCAATGGACTACTTATTCTACATTGTATCATGGCATTATGACACCATCAATTGTCTTTGTTTACGGATAAGATTGGGTTTGGGCTGAACCTAAGCTCATCCTGACTCATGTTATGACTGCAGCATATGGGCAAGAAACTGTGAATTATGGTGGTGGTGGTGGTGGTGGTGGTGGTATCTCAATATCTCAATATCAGAAGCCAAAAATAGGATTTAATTCCCCACTTTTGTATGGAGTTGGCCATTAATTCATCTTTCATGCTCATTTCACACTGCAATGTTCTGCCTGCTTGGTTTGCAAAAACAGAAGAAATCATAAGGGAATCTGGCATCCTTAAAGTGGAACTTCACCCAGAAAAAGGGAAATTCTGTTTTTTTTCCTCCCCATCTCTCTGCCATATTTGGAACATTTTTTTGACTGGAGGGGGAGTGAGCACTTCGTTTTGACAGGTACCCCGCTCCCATTTGTGCTCGGATCACGTAGACGATCCAAGTGGAAGTTATTCCTCCTTTCAGTACCTACAACCTTCTGGGACACATCACAGGTTCCAGGAGGCTGTGGGACCATTCACAAAAGGCAGCATGGCAGTGGGAAGCCTGCTGTGAAGCTGCAAGGAGTCAGAGCCTGCCTCTCACAGTTAGCATGCCTGCGCCAGGGACCAAAGACCGGTGAAGGATGGTGCTGGATCCCTGAACAGTTGAGTGTCTGTTTATTAAAAGTCAGTTTTTGTTGCTGCTGACTTTTTAATTTTTAAAGAAATGACTGAAGATCTGCTTTAAAACCTCTTGGCGCAGTCCTTCTGGCGTCTGGGCCCTGACGCCGAGCGGCTGCACATTTACGTGCAATTAAGAAAAATATATGTGCTGAGAGCGCGCGCCCTGCGCGTTCCCAGCATACATGTCCAGTACTCACAGAAAGGTCCCAATCTCCTTGCGATCAGGACCTTTCCCGATCATGTGACCGTGTCAGAGAATCATGGCAGTCACATGACCCTAAAACCCTTCCCCACCTCCCGGCTTCTGAAACCCTTAAAGGCCAGGAGGACTCGGTGCCAAGGGGTTAAGCTTGGTGGTGTGGTTTTTTTTTCCTTTTTTTGTTTTTCATTTTTCAATCCATAAGCACCTCCAAGCATCTAAATAAGGCCATGCAAATATAAGAAAGCCAACTGTGGACATTGGGGCACCACAGTGACTTAATAGTTAGCACTCTTGCCTTGTAGCACTGGGAACTCAATTGAAATCCCAGCTAGGACACTATCTGCATGGAGTTTGCATGTTCTCCTTGTGTTTGTCTCCTCCAATGAGACAATGGTAGAATAATTGGCTGCTGTCTAATTTGGCCCTAGTGTATGTGCAAGATAGAGACCTTTACATAGAGACCTGAGATAGATTGTAAGCTCCTTGAGGGCAGGGACTGATGTGAATGTATCGCATGGAAAGCACTACATACATTGTTGGCTCCAGGTCACCAGAGGTCTGGTTATCAGGTGGAAGGAGGGATTCTTATACATAATTTACTAAAGGTTTAAATAAATGCTTTTCCTAACACCCAAACCTGCCACCCTTTAGGTTAATGGAAATTTATCCAGGGCTGAGGCTTTGAGGGTCCCTTGGACCAGTGGGCCAATTGGGCAGCTGATTGTTTGCCCATCTGGCTAAAGAAGCCCTGACTGTTCTTTCATGTACAGAAATCACAGAACATCCTCTATGTGTACGTTGAGTCTTACCGCACAATCATCAGTGCAGAGTCTAAGTTCAGCAAAGAGAAAGACCATGTTAAAACTGGTGATCTTGAAGACTTTCATAGGAAACCGAGCTTCAATGCCGACTCCATTGCTTTCCACTTTTAATTGGTCAGTAGATATATCAGTAGATGGGCACCTGGATACAGAAACCTTTCATCAGCTTTCAGTTACTGTAATCTAAAGATTAGAAACACAATACTGGTACATACTAATAGAGCTGATCAATATATGGGCTGCATTCATTACTTTATATGTGAACAATACATATATATACACAGTATATATTAAAGGTAAAAAAAAACACGTGGCATTTTAAATAAATATATATATAAATTGGTGTGGCGGTGATTAGTGACACTTTAACTGACTGATGCAGTGATCAGGGACACTGGAACTTGTGTGGCCATGATCAGGGGGCAATGGGAATAGTGTGTGGTGATGATCAGGGACACTGGGACTGGTGTGGCGGTGGTCAGAGGCAGTGGGAATGGTGTCACTAACTGGTGAAAGTATGTAAAAATAGTAATTTTTTTAATTACAATCTTAAAAAAAAAACCAATTATATATATATATATATATATGTACAATATATATACACACTATACTGCCAAAAGTATTGGCCCCACCCTCCAAATCATGTGATTCAAGTGTTCCAATCCCCTCCAAATCATGTGATTCAGGTGTTCCAATCCCCTCCATGGACACAGGTGTATACAATCAAGCCCCTAGGCATGCATACTGCTTCTACAAACATTGGTGAAAGAATGGGTCGCTCTCAGGAGCTCAGTGACTCCAAGCGTGGTCCCGTGATAGGTGGCCACCTGGGCAATAAGTCCATCAGTGACATTTCCTGGCTACTAAATATTCCACGCTCAACTGTTAGTGGGATTATAACAAAGTGGAAGCAACTGGGAACAACAGCCACTCAGCCACCAAGTGGTAGGCCACGTCACATGACAGGGCGGGGTCAGCGCATGCTGAAGCATGCGCTCTCTACCCTCCTTAAACCTTGTGGATGGCCTTCCAGAAGAGTTGAAGCTGTTATAGCTGCAAAGGGCGGGGCCAGCTCAATATTGAACCATACAGACTAAGACTGGGGGGCCATTAAAGTTCATGTGCGTTGAAAGACACAGGGGCCCAATACTTTTGCATTTTCATTTTCATATTTTCATTTTCCAAAAATATATCAGGACTAATTGAACAAACGAAATAAAATACACCGATTTCAGTTATTTTTCTACCAAACAAAAGCAACAGACTACATTTTGGCCTAAATTTATGAAGAAGGATTATTCATTTTTCAAAACTGTATAACAGAAACTAAGAAAAATGTGTTTTCTTGTTTCACAATTCTCAGTCTTTGTTCGATTATATAGCAAAAAAATACCAAACAGAAACTGTATGTGTCTCAAAACAAAGATACAAATTTAATTTGGGTACAGTGTTGCATGCCTGAGTAATTGTCGTTCAAAATGTGACAGCGCTGAATGCTGAAAATTTGCCTGTACTGGAAGCGGGTGAAAGGGTCCGCACTGGAGGTAGGTGGCTAATATATTTTTTAAATATTTTACTATGAAACAGCAAAAAAATAAGTATTTATAAAAAACGTTTTCCCTTGCTTTCTGTTAAAAAAGCAAACAGACAGAAAAAGATGAAAACCACAGAAATGACCCTTTCTTGGAAAACAGACACCCCAAGGTAACCTTATCTTTTGCCACAATTCTTTTTCCAAATGAAACATGATGAGGTCAAACATGGAGCTTGAGAATGGTGCACCAGATACATTAAAACCAATTGCCGATCGCAGGTAGCCGAATGACTGCTGCACTGCGGCCAGGCCAGTTCTGGGAGGCTGTCATATGACGTCCTCCCAGAACGCACTCTCCTGCGCGCACCCAGGGGCGAGCACCCGGCCATCTCCGTGATCACTGTGTCCTATGGCCACAGCTGATCACGTGATGTTGTAAAAGGCCAATCAAAGCTTCCTTTTACCACATGATCAGCCGTATCCAATGACATGCTGATCACCGGGAAATGCAATTGCCGGTTATCAGCTGCACTTTCCTCACGCTGTCACAGCGTGAGGAAAATACTGCACAGAAACGGCAGTTCTCAGAGCAGGGACTGGCACCGATCATTAGGGCACTGATGCTCAGTGCCCTGATGATCGGTGCCCAGCAGTGCCACCCACCAGTCCGCCCACCTGTACCCAGCAGTGCCCACCAGTGTCATACACCAGTGCCCATCAGTGCAGCCCAGCAGTGCCGCCAGTGAGTGCCCAGCAGTGCCGCCAGTCAGTGCCGCCTATCAGTGCTGACTATCAGTACCACCTCATTAGTGCTGCCTTTCAGTGCCCATCATCAGCGCCAGCTCATCAGTGCCACCTATTAGTGCTGCCTGTCATTGCCGCATAGTTCTTCCTATCAGTGCCCATCAGTGCCGCCTATCAGTGCCCATCAGTGCCGCCTATCAGTTCCCATCAGTGCCGCCTATCAGTGCAGTCTCATCAACGGAAATCTGTGAAGGAAAAATATTACCTGTTTGCAAAATTTTAACTTTTTTTTCACATTTTTTGCTCTTTATTTTATTATAGCGCAAAAAATAAAACACCCAGCGGTGAGTAAATACCACCAAAAGAAAGCTCTATTTGTGAGAAAAAAGTGATAAAAAATGTCATATGAATAAAATGTTGCATGACCGCGCAATTGTCAAAGTGTGACAGTGCTGAAAGTTGAAAATTGGCCTGGGTATGGGGGGGGGGGGGGTGCCATGTACACATGGACACAGCATTGTAGGGAGTATGTGTAGGAGAAGAGGAAGGCAGGAAAGGGCTGTAAAAAAAGATCCCTGTGTCACTGCAACAGAATGAATGGATCACCTGCAGCCCCCGATCCATTCACTTTGTGCCCATTCATAAGTACTGATCTCTCTCCACTCCATGTTGTAATGGGAAGGGGAGGGATCAGCACCACAAATAATACCATGTGATTGCTGTGATGACCAATTATAGGTAGGGATTACATAGTACCCAGCTCCTTGGATCATCTGGGTACAGTGTCTCTGTGTACCCAGCATTCTAATGACAGCTGGGTACACGGGAATAGGAGGGATCAGCACTGTAAACAATACCACGTGATTGCTGTGATGATCAGTCGTAGGGATTACATAGTACTCAGCTTCTCAGATCATCTGGGTACAGTATCTCTGTGTACCCAGAATAAATGGATCAGCAGCTGCAGCCCCCAATCCATTCACTCTGTGCCCATTCATAAGTACTGATCTGTCTCTGCTCCATGTTGTAATGGGAAGGGGAGGGATCGGCACTGTAAACAATACCATGTGATTTCTGTGATGATCAGTCATAGGGACTACATAGCACCCAGTTCCTAGGATCCTCTGGATACAGTGTCTCTGTGTACCCAGCCATCTAATGACAGCTTGGTACACAGGAAGGATCGAGATCAGCTCTGTAAACAATACTATGTGATTGCTGTGCCAATCATAGGGACTACATAGTACAGCCATTTGGATTGGATGGATACAGTGTCTCTGTGTACCCAGCTATCTAATGCTAGTTGAGCACAAAGAGTTCATTCGGCCGATCCACTGGCCGGTGGCTGTTTTTCCAGTGCTGTTTATAAATGGCGCTGGATAAATAAAGGGCCGCTGATCCGCCATTGATACACGCACAGTGCTACATAAGTGGTTAGGGGGATATATTGTTCTGGGCATTTAGCAAAATATTTCTAGGTCAAAGTGTACAAAGAACACGCAGAGCTACTAACCTGTGTGCTGTGTACTTACCCGTCCTTAAGAAGATAGTATCTGAGGGAGCTTGAGTTGGTAGGAGAGGCATAAATATTCACCACTGAGAGATTGAAGGTGTTGCCATCCAGATCTGGTACTTTTGCGGAAAGGTAAATAGTATCTTCCACAGTCAGGGTGTCTTCTTCTGAGAGAGGGGTCGTATATGTGCTTTCTTTAAAGGCTGCCATTACGGCTGTATAACTTGTATCTGCTGTAAGGTCATTTATTACTGGGCTCCTGGAAAAGAAACGCACAACAAAAGGTTACCTACCTAGAACCCCTTGTAGGTATGTGGACATGCAACTATGAGAGGACGCAGAACGGAAATATTTTCCCTGAGGATAAAGAAAGAGCAATTCTATCAGATCTCTTCTCCAGCTCGGTGTATACTGGTGGGGGAGGTGAAGATGATATACAAAAGGATTGAGAATTCAATTGCACCACAAAGGATTCACATTAATATGTATAAAAAAAAACAGACAAAATAAAAGTCATTTAGGTGACCTTGTCAGGGTGAAAAAAAATTTAAGAAGCGACATCCCTGCAATGGAATGGTCTTCATACTCCCCTCTCAGGCGGCCCATGTCTCCTACCTTTCCTCCGTCCCTGTGCTGCAGCCTTCACCAGACTCTTCAGTATTCAACTCTTCCAGAAGTGTGGGATGTCTGTGTCTGCCGGCACATGCCATGGTTCCTTCCTCTGACCCCGATGTCACTACAGGACTCAGCAGAGACATTGGGGTTGAAGGAAGGAACCACACAGCCCGGCGGGGGGCACTCAGGAGCGCTCAATATCAAAGAGTCTCATGGAGGCTGCAGCACTGAAGCAGAAGGAAGGGAGGAGACACGGGGTATAAAGACTCTTCTATTGCAGAGACATTTCCTCACGGTCTGACAGGGCGGCTTGGGAAGACTTGGCCCAGATGGCTTACTAGAGATGTGTGCGATGGAAACATTTGTTTTGATTTGTTTCGGGTTCATTAAGTTAATAATTTAATTTTGTTATAGTCATTGTCAGGGCTCCCGGGTATGACCAGAGGTGTGTTACTGACGCAGGGAAACGCAGGCTTCAGATAAGTTATAAACAATATAATTTATTAACACTAACAATACAAACATAAACGCAGTGCAATACTAAAACATAACACAGTGCAAACAAACCAACCAACCACCCACAGATAACAGTACATACAATGCAAGCGTCGTCAGGGAGGCCGGGTCAATAACAATTGGGCAGGTAGGTACAGGGGGGTCAGGCAGAGAATGGTCGGGGTCACAAGCCAGGGATAAAACAGGAGAAGTCAGCAGAGGTCCGGATCAGGCAGGGTCAGCAACGAATGAGTCAGAGACAGGAACAGGGGAGCAGGAACAGGGACAGGGATGCAGGAACAAGATACAGGGCCCAGGAAAACACACACCAAGGCAGAGACTGCAGGTCTGGCCATCCCTTAAATACACCTGCATGATCAACTGCAGGTGTTTGGCTGGCTGCAGGGTTGAGTCTCTGATTGCTGGGAGCACCCGCTGGCCAGCCCTGGTACTGCAGCCCACAAGGCAGGTGAGTCCCACCATTACTGGCAAGTCCATTCCTGACAGTCATTATGTTAGAATGATTCGTTTTCAGAATTAATTTCGTATATTCGTTATTTTCAAATTGATTTGAAGTTTAAATTTTAGAAGACGGCTATATTCATTCTACTCTTTTATTTCCTATTCTATTCTATTCTAATCTATTCCTTTAGTTGCTATTTAATTCCTTTCTATTTTTTTTCCATTCTATTCAATTCTATTATATTTTATTCTGTTCTTCACTCTCTTCTATGCTGTTTTTTACTATTCTTTTTTTTAATTCTTTTTTTATATGGAATTCTATTTTATTGCTTTTTTCTATTCTATTCTACTCTATTCTCTTT